TAACAAGCGGTCCTGATTGCTAGCAATAACTTGCTTAACATGTTCACATTTGTGTGATAATCACATAAAAAATAAAATGACTCACTAGTACTTCAAAAAAGAAACTGATACTAGGTGTAGGCTAGATATGTTATATGGTCACTTTATCATATCTGAAAGCCTTATTCCTAAATCACTAGGAGTTTTCAGACTCTTGTCACAGGACTGATTTGAGACCAGCTGAGAGATGAAATTTGTGGGGGATGAGGGAAGCAATGAGAGAAACTGGTGAATGGAAGGCAGGGAATCACCCCTTCATGCTCACCTATCCCCATGCTTCCTGGGTAACCAGAGCTTATCACCTAGGTATAGTCTTATGGCCAAAAAGGACTAAAATGAACTGGAAAGTCAGGGAAGTCATAGTAGTAATGAGCTTTGGTGCAGAGATGTACGGGGAAGTAAAGTCCTCCTCATCCACCAAGGGCCTTTTATGTCCTTGTGTGGCTCCTGTGATGATTATATCACTCTTTAACAGTCTTCTAACATTATAATCATGAAATCATCATAAACATTTTTCCTCACAAATTATTTATTCTCTACCACCTTCTTTCAAAACGTCCTGATTTCACTTTATGGAAGAGACCAGAGAATTCTCAACATCTAATTCTATCCCACAACCTTTCTATAAATCACTTTAATGTGATGTTCTAGAAAATTTATGGGACACATCTTTGTTAAATAAAAGAGGCATTTACTTGGTAAGGCAGCCAATTTCTCTTATTCATTGATCAGCATGAGACCTTTATTTAAAGCTCTTTGTGTGTGTATGACAGGGTCTTGCTCCATTACCCAGGCTGGAGTGCAGTGGCCCGGTCATGGCTCACTGCAGACTCCACCTCCTGGGCTCAAACAATCCTCCTGCCTCCACCTCCCGTATAACTAGAACTACAGACGCATGCCCCCACGCCCCACTAATGTTTTGATTTCTTGTAGAAACAGGGTCTTACTTTGTTGCCCAGGCTGGTCTCTAATTCCTGGGCTCAAGTGGTTCTCCCACCTTGGCTTCCCAAAGTGCTGGAATTACAGGTGCGAGCCACCATGCCCAGCCTATTTAAAGCTTTAGGAAGAAAAGTTTCACATTGCTCAACCTCATGACTTAAGCAGGTCAACTCAAAGTATGGGTAAATCATGCCTTTCCTACCACATCATCATGGGAAACCTGAAGTGGCCACTCTCACAGCCTTGCCTATAGGATGCTAAAAAAATGAAACATCCGAAATTATTCCGATATCTTACATGTGTCCTGTGTATAAGAAATTTCAGGCTGGGTGCCATGGCTCACGCCTATAATCCCAACACTTTGGGAGGCCGAGGTAGGCAGATCATCTGAAGTCAGGAGTTCGAGACCAGTCTGGCCAGCATGGCAATACCCCATCTCTACTAAAAATACCAAAAAAACAAAACAAAACAAAAAATTAGCCAGGTGAGGTGGCACATGCCTGTAGTCCCAGCTACTTGGGAGGCTGAGGCAGGAGAATCACGTGAATCCAGCAGGCAGAGGTTGCAGTGAACTGAGATCGCACCACTGCACTCCAGCCCAGGTGACAAGAGGGAGACTCTGTCTCAAACAAAACAAAACAAAAACCCAGAAATTCCATCTCTCAGAATTTTGTGAAGAATAGCTATTCTTTCTCCTAGCTCTGCTCAAAATCATCTCCATGAGATAGTGGATTTATGAATGTGGTAAGAAAAATTCAGTGGACTCTAAGAAAATTTCTTTATCCTGTTTGGAGCCTCCCTTGTCCAGTCCCATGTAATGTTCTTTATCCCAGATAAATGTAGCCAAGCACTTCCAAACACCTCGGGAAATGCAGAGGTTGAAGAGGGGGAAATCTTATTTTACTATGTAAGTTTCGAATATGCTATTTTTGACTAGATAACACAATCACATAGCTCAAGAATTAAAATGACATTAAAACATATACATTGAAAAGCTGTATTATGTTCCCTTTTCCTATCCACCCCACTAATCCCTGATGCCCTCTATAGGTTAACACTTGCCCTGTGTTCCTCCGGGCTCTTCCAATGTTTTTATGTATATACAAGCATTAATGCATATTTTTATTTCCTAGATTTCTTACACAAAAAGCAACATATACCATACATCTTCTGCAGCTTGATTGCTCATATAAAATATATCCCAAAGATCACTCCATGTCAGTATATAGGACTCATAAAATGTCCTTGTTGACAGGGTGTTTCTTAACTCTTCACATAACGTGCAATGCTGCAGTGAACAACTTGTCTATAAGTCCTTTTGTATGTCTGTAGGATAAATTTCCAGAATTGAGACTTCATAGAATTTTTTAATTAAATACCTCTGTTCTAACGCTTCTCAGAGTGGCTTGTGTTTGTTAGTGCTTCCTCCTCACTATGGTATACACTTCTGAAGGCATGAACTGTGTTTTATGCATCTTTGTACCCACAGGGGCTACCACAGTGCCTAGCATGTTAATGCTAAATACAAACCAAACTTCTAGTGTAACTGCAACCCTGAGAACATTCAAGTAACCCCTCAACGTAAAGGCTGCGATCTAGGTGTAGATTAAGAGGCACTTCCCAGTTTCTATTTCAAGATGAAAACAGGACTTATAAAGATAAAAGTATTGAATAAGGAGTCAAAGTTTCAAGGATGAGGCTGTCTCTTCAAATCCGGGAACTGGGTCAATGTCGGGCAAATTTTCTGGGTTAATCACGCAGAGACAAACTAAGTGGTAAAATAGAGAGGAAGCCTAGAGAACTCCTGCCTGCTGATGAGCAACCACAGGTGACTGAGAATAGCACTTCCCTAAAAGCCAGGATGAGCTATGGAGAAAAGGTAAATGCATACGTGGATTAGAATCTGAGCAGAGATGGAGAGTGTGCGCAGAAAGCGAGGCTGCAGATGGTGCTAATGTAGCTGCTTCTCCACTCTCATGACAGCCTGTGGGAATGGCTCCTGGTTTTGCTCTTCAGCCCCCACCCGTGTCAGGAAGGCTTCTAGGAAGTGGCCTTGGTGAAAACTCAAGCCCAGTCCTAAACTGATGGCAGCCGTACTTCCCTAGCTATTTCTCTCCCCATCCCAGTGCTGCTCCTCCCAGCCACAGCTGCTATTCCGAGCACATAGGCCATAGGAGGATTCTTTCTTTCCACGAGATAATCACTAAGCCTCCCAGCTGCCACTGAACTCTGTTTAGCCAAGTTTGAAGACATGGACTAGAAGGCAGATGTGTCACACACAGAACTCGTTTCAGTGCTTGTCAAAATCCTCACCTCTCAAAAATTGTCAGTGAAAAATGAATGGTTACAACTTCTTATGTCAATAATGTGGCAATATAATTCAAAAATTGTAAATGTGTTTTTATCTAGCAATTCTACTTCAAGGAATTGATTCTGCAAGTACACTTATAGAAGAACAAAAAAAAACTATACATACATTTGCTGAAGTATTATTTGTAAAAGCAAAAAAATTAAATAGAAATTACCTACATATCTATCAACATGGTAGTGGTTATATATATAATACTATATTATGTAATATCTTTTGCAGCTCTAGAAGAATGAGATAAACCCATGTGTAGGGCATGGAGCAACAGTCACATACACTGAGGTGAATAAAAACAAGCTTAAAATAGTAAATATATTGTATGATTTTATTTGTGATTTCAAAGATGATGTGCTTGCATATGAATTTTTAAAAATTGGTAAAAATATATGAGAGACTATTAAGGCCACCACTGGGGAATGGGATTGAGGAGACTAGGGGAAAAGAAAGGAACAACTTTTTATTTTTTTAACTTCATATCCTTTTTGTATTGCCTTTGAGAATTAAAAAGTTCACTTGCAGCCCACATATTATTTCTAAGATTCCTGTGGTATATAGATTATGTAGGATTTGGTGATTTTCTTTTTTTTTTTTTGAGACAGGGTCTCATTCTGTCACCAAGGCTGCAGTGCAGTGGCATGATCACAGCCTGCTGCAACCTAGACGTCTGAGGCTCAGGAGATCCTCCCACTTCAGACTCCCAGGTGGCTGGACTACAGGTGTGCGCCACCATGCCTGGCTAAGGGTCATACTATGTTGCCCAAGCTGATCTTGAACTCCTGGGCTCAAGCGACTTGCCCGCCTCGGCCTCTTAAAGTTTTGAGATTACAGTTATGCATCATTATGCCCAGCTCTAGTGATTGTTTTTGGTCTTTTTTCCCCCCGAGACAGAGTTTCGCTCTTGTTGCCCAGGCTGGAGTGCTATGGTGCGATCTCCGCTCACTGTAACCTCCGCCTCCCGGGTTCAAGCAATTCTCCTGTCTCAGCCTCCTGAGTAGCTGGGATTACAAGCGCCTGCCACCATGCCCAGCTAATTTTTGTATTTTTAATAGAGATGGGGCTTTACTTCGTTGGCCAGGCTGGTCTTGAACTCCTGACCTCAGGTGATCTGCCCACCTTGGCCTACCAAAGTGCTAGGATTACAGGCGTGAGTCACTGTACCTGGCCCCTGGTGATGATTTTTTAATCAGAATAGCTATCACTTAAAAAAAAAAAAAGAAAAAAAAAACTTTTAAAAGGTTCTTCTTGGCTGCGTAAAACATCTGTGGTTGACCTTAATTGAGGTTCACAGAACCAACTTCAGCTTTGTGGGCATATACTCAAAACCCGACTCACACAGAAAGCCTAGTATAATTTTCTATGATTAAAAAATCAATGTGTTGAGTCTTCAGACTATTGATTAGGTTGTCAACAATTTTAGTAACACCCTTGACCACCCATAAACTTCCATTTGTCACTTACCTGAACATATCTTTTAAAGAATGCTTTTTAGTTCTTATGTTGCATTTCCTGCAAAATCTCCCATGCAGTGGACTTATTAATCATGAAAAAATTTTGTCATATTTTACAAGGTCAGAGAGAAGTAAAGAAGAAAAGATGATCCCATATTATGTAAGTGTCCTGTTGCTAAAGAAAACACTGCTCAGGGCAGACTTACACAAAGTGGTAGATTCTGATACTGGGTTTTCAAATCCTGATAATTGGAGCCATTCAGTCAGTCTCTGTGCCTGATCCTGAATAAAAAGAACCTGAGACGAAAAGCAAGAAGATGAGAAAATGTTCAGACAATAAAAAGCATTTGGCAGATGCAATTGGCAGTAGACTCAACATACATTCTCTTGAGGCAAAGCTTTAATGAAGAAGCTCAAATGTAGCAGAATATTGTTTGGAACATCAATTTCCAGGTCACCTACCTTCTCCAAGACTTTCTGTTGCTAAGATGATGATGTCTTTGGTTACCATAATTTAACAAAGTTTTCTAGTATCAAAAAGTTTTAGCAATTTGCCTTTCTGCAATGCAGGGGAAAAAAAGCTGTAGGATGTGCAATGTTTATTCAATTGCCTTGTTGTATTATTGCTCTTCTTTCTGGAATAGTATTTTGGGTTTGCAAATGTAGAGAAACCTACATTTTCCTGGTATAGACCTGTGATGACAGGTCTACCATATAAGCGAATAGACAGATATATCAAGCAAGTTGATAATTCATCTTGCTGTAATTAACCAAATATAGTTTATGGAAGTGATTTAAGCCTAAAATTCACAAACAACTTCATGAAATTTTCAGAACCAATGTATACTTTTGGGGTTAGCCTCAAAACCTTTGAGAGCTTCCACTTCACAGCTAAATGCTAAAGCACAATAATCATGGGAATAAGACAAAGGGAGATTAAATGATCAGCAAATGAGGAAGAAACAAAGAGAAAAATAGAGAAAGCAGTGATGTAGCTATAACAAGAGCCTTACATGCCTAGTTCACTTATTCTCAGACAATTCATCTTCTACAATAATAAAAATTGACTGTAGCCTTCCAAGAAAAGTTGCTTCTTCAAAATGAATAGGTTCTAAGCATGTTTGGTAATTTAATTTCAAATAGATGTGTTGGTATAATTTGGGTTTTAAGGCACTAGCCCTCAATATTTAGATCTTGGTCTCCAGAAATAAATTACCTTGACAACTAACATGAAGGCCAATCAATGTATACTGACCCCAATTATTGGAATGGTATGAATGAATGTATATTTTTAAACTCAATTATCCAGGTAACTTGCACATAAATATAACAAACCAAAGACCACAGGGTGGGATACTGCCTCAACTTCATTTTAGTACAGATTGTTTTCTCCTTTGAACCACTAATCAACTTTACTATATGCAGTTTCTACAATACAAGCCTATTTGCCTCAACATCTTAGCATCATAGTATCCTCTCATCAGAATATTGGTTAGGTTCCCTAGTGTGAATCACTTATCCAGTTGCTTGCCTGATTATTCACATGTTTTTGAGATTTGTGAAATGTAGCAGATAAACAGGTTTATGCTGTGTGCAACTTGGAGGGCAGCCAATGTCTGTCTGCCTATACTGTATATTTACTCTCCTTCCTCAATCTCTCTCTCATACAGAGAAGCTGTATTTTAAGACTAAAATCAGGGTAGAATGCAATCCAGTAATGTCACTGCAGAAAACAGCAGGTGCTCATCCACTCATTTGCAGTGATTCTTGCAGTGAGGAAAGTGAATCAATGATTCATCTAATGGACAAAGAAACGCCACAGTGAACATTTGGAAAAATCAAATGAGGGAAAGGAACATTCTCTTATAAAGGTGGGCTCTGATTTTGGAAAGCAAAACCTCCCACATGAAAATCAGGAAGTTTGTTGTGTTCTGGTTGTAACTGTAGTAAGCAATGGCATGTTCCCTCTCTCCCTGCTTCCTCTGTTTTATTGCTTTTGTGTTGCACTTCTAAAATAAATATCAATAAATCATTGCAGTTAGATACTCTAATATAGACAGAAATGTACTTGACTCCCTACAGTCATTACAATTGGAGGGGACTCTGATTAGGATGCTTTACTTAATTAAGTGATATCGTCTAAAGAGAGTTCTTCCCTCCATTTTCTGTTTAACAGTCTCACAAAACACCAACAGAGGAAATTCATTCTGTTGTTTGCTTTTCTTATTGTAAATGGTTTCTCCTCATTCATATTTTGCAGAAGATGATGTCGTGTTGATGAAATGGCTAATAAGCCAAAGACTATGGTTACACACAGAGTCTTGTTCAAATCAGCCCAGGCTACACAGACTGAAAACATTTTCTCCCCATCTCAAAAACGTGTTTTTAAATTTATTTTTACGGCATCTGTAACCTAAAATTAAGAAAATCCAAAAGAAAGTCTTTTCTGAAAAGTCACATTTCACCTAGTTTGTGTATGGTTCAGCAGAGACCTTAAAAATCTGTTTATTTGAGAAAACAGAAAAAAAAATGGGCAAAGAATAAACAATCCTTATGCATTAAATGTTATTTGTGAGGCACTTTGATTTTACTGAAAGAAGTCATTAAATTTGGATTGCCAATACAAATATGATTATATATGTTTTCCAAATAAAATGTTATTATGTTGTAACTGAACTCATCCATTTATTGTTTGTTTACCTAGTGCTCAAATGCATGTTTTATTCATAGATGTCTGGGAGAAAAAAATTTTGCTTGATAATCACACCAAGCATATTTAACAAAAGCGATTCTCCTTTTATTAGTGAACAGGTTTAAGCAGAATGATTTCATTTTTTTCCCCATTTAGTTAATTCAGACTTGCAGGATCCTTAGCTTACAGCTTTTGTTTCTCCTCCCACGGCCTTTTATGCCTTTAATGTATGCATGCCTATCCACTGATGGGAAAATATCATTTCCTGAAACTCTTCCTTTTTCCATTCTTGACTATTCTCTCCGTTGATTTCTAGCTTTGGTTAGTTTTCACTAGTCAGTTCTGTCAAATCGCTGTATGTACAAGACAGATAATTTGAAGCCAAGCAAATAGTTAATTATCCTGTTGAAAAATTTAAACTCTCTCTCCTCAGAGTGAATTGGAATTCTAATTTGCTCATTCCTTTAAAAATAAATAATATATTTATATATTTAAAGCAATTAAAAAGTGTATAGGATAGAAAGTCATAAAGTGAAGATTTATTAATATCTATGAAATTTTTTATTGCCAAAACATTTTAACAAAATTTTTGCAACTTTAACAAATTAACAATTGCCTTGTATTGAATTTAGCAACTTTATTTCTGTCTATTAAAAAGCAACATTAAATGTAAACACTCTCTTAAATGAACTCAACCAACTTACAATAGATTATTTGCACCTTAATACAACATGCAGCTAAAAGCGATTAATAAACTGTAAAATTTAAATACATGTCTCAAGATATAAAAGTGAATATTCATGAATCACATGCAAGGGGTTTGTAATTAATTGCTAAATTATTAAAAGAACATTTTATAACACAGCTAGAAATCTGAATTATTTGAATTATTTAATAGCTTGGTCATTAATCAAACAAAATAATAATAGCAACAATAATACATAATTGCCAAATGAGTTAATTAATGTTGTTTGACTCTAAGATTTTGTCTTGTCTTGTTTTAACTGGGTACCATCCTGCATAAAAATGTTTCCTTAAGCTGGATACATTCTGAAGTTACATAATTTTTCTTAATTAGGAAGTTAAGAAAATCACAGAAGAATAGTAAAACAATGTGCCTGCTCGACATGTTATCCAAAGTGAATTCCAGAAATTGTTCATAATTGCTTCTGTTATTTTTAAAAGATGTTCTTTATTAAAAATTAGCCTCACATTAGTTTTAAAGTTCGTTAAATGTTAGTTTTTTTCCCCCTGGTTTTGATAATTTTAACAACTAAAAGCTTAGTTAGCCTACTATCTGTTAAGCAAACTTCTTTATAGATTTTGTTTAAGCTCTTCATTTTAAAAGGTGCCTTTGTCCTGAAACTAAACATATGACACTCCTGTCCCCTAAGAAAATTTTTGAGAAATTGAATAACAGCAAGTAAATCTGATAGAGAAGTTTTATCCCATTCCTGCTGTTTACTTATTTTAAAATAATTGTTTAAAGATAAAGAATGTGTCTTTTTTCTTAAGTCTTTAAGAAGAATGAGAACTGGGTCTAATAAAGCACTACTGAAGTTAGAATAGCCGCTGAATTATTATCTGGCAGAAGAATGTGAGTTCTATTTTGCCTGAACCAATTATCTTTATCAAATGACTTTTCTACCTAAATTGTTTGCTTAAGATATTATAGATAAGCAGAGTTATTGTAATATGCATTTTAGGCCATTATTATTTAAATTCCTATAAATCAAACTGGTGTAACAGAGCCAATTTCAGGTTATTTGTTGAAACTGCTTTTCTTTGGAGCAGTTAACATTTGGGGCTAATGCTGCAATCCTAATGGGCAAATATATCAAATGTTTAAAATATAAACACAAATATTATTGCCTTTAAAAGGCTAGTTAGTAAGAAAAAGATTTACATCCTAACATGGGCTTTTTTCTGTGTTTGTAAGATGAGTGCTCTAAATAAAGTATTTGTCATCAAAGCTGTCTCTGTAAATTAGTAGAAAGAGTAACTTTTCTAAAGAGAACCTAGCTAAGAGACACCTCCTGCAATGGAAGTAGATCAAATCTGTTCAAAGAAAAGGACAAAGAACAAAGTTTATTTGCTAGCGTGAAGACAGTTTCTTGAAACTTTTTTTTTTTTCCTACGGAAACCAGAGTGTTCAAGAAAGACAATATTTAGCAATGGGCTTTTGGGGGTTGGGAGGAGAAAAACATCTTGTGTGATGTAAAGGGAGAAAACATATAGACCACAACGAAATAAACAAACATTTTCTTTTGGCAAGAGATGACTGCAGAGTTTGAAGAGTAAATTACTTCCATCAGCAAGTTGTACCTTATAAATTTAGAAGAATGGATCATCAACTCATTTGGAAGATAATTCTCTTTTTAATAGCAACAGTTTCACAGCTAGTTTTGTCTCTAAAAACGATACCTGCTAGACATCCATAAATTAGCTTTTAAGAGGAAGCAAAACTTGATGACAAACTATTGTCAAGTTGTATATATTTCTGATTCAAGTTAAACATATTTTTAACAAACTGTTTTGTGAATCTGTTTTGAAGCACTTCAGCGGCCCAGAGGGAGCTCTACCTTTAATATATAGACAAGGTTAC